TTGAGCCCTTCCCCACAACCTACAACCTCAAGAGTTTGTGACTGTCAGGATACAACAAAAGCATTTACCATGAGGAGTCTACTTGTCTGCTGTGATTTCAGTAGTCCACACAGGCTGCATCGATCACTCCAAAAGAAGAGGGTTCTTGGGGAGCTGTCCCCAGTGTCACCAATGTCTTTCACAAAGTTTGCAAGCCACCACACTAGGCCTGGCAGGGACTGTGTCCTGGCCAGTCAATTGAGGCAGTTTTCCTTCACTGTAGCCTCCCTAGGCTTTCCAACCGCCAAATGCCCATCTCACCGAAGAATTTGATTCTCTGTGGAATGCACGCCATTAGTCATGTGACATCATCAAGATCTGCCTTGATATATGTAGAGTTCAAGCCACGCTGGGCTCTTTGTAGCACGGCATCCCTTACGATGTGTGGCATCATCCTTTGTGCCCAGTGCCAAGTTTGTGCAAGCCCAACAAATTATAAATTAATGAGAGCTGTTTGGGAAGTTGGTTCTCCCAGTGCCTTAGTATCGTTACTTTTGAAATTATTTATTGATTTACTTACATGATTTATGTAATAAATGTTTTCTCTTCATGTGTTTATTTATTTATTTTGCTTGCACATGGCGGGGGAGGGGGGCATGCAATAGAAAGCATGTGGAGGTCAGAATGCAACTCGTGAGAGTCAGTCCTCACCTTCCACTGTGCAGGCCCCTGGAGCCAAACTCAGGCTCGCAAGCTTGGTGGCAAGCACCTTCACCCACTGAGCCCTCTTACCAGCCCATCCCAATCCGTTTCCAATCTTCCTCTTCTGGTTTGAGGAACTCAGTTCTCTGAAGCTCAGGAAGGACCCATCAGACTTTTCCCAGCACACCGGGCATTGACTTCAAACGGCTCTGTGTCTGCTCCTTCTGACTGGCTTCTGTATTTTACTCAATCCTAAGGCAGTTTCATTTTCTAGAATTCTCAGTCCCTGTTAGTGATTAACGCCCCTAAGTAATACTGTAACAACAAACAGTTCTCAGGACCAAGTTTCTGACCTTCCCAATCCTTTTCTTTTCTCTCTCTCTCTCTCTTTTTTTTTAAACTTGCCATCTGAACTGTATAAAGAAATAAAGAATAAAAAATGTCCACTGCCTTCTGTGTCTCATGCAACTTCCTGTTGCGTCAAATCTCAACATCTTCATCAGCCTGACTTAGTTCTTAGTGCCTGGACCCTTTTAATGAGACCCGTTTGCAGCCGAAACCTGCTTGTGTGACATGCACAGCTACGTGGTTTCAGTTTTACTCTGCAGTTAAGCGACCACAGCACCAACTTTCTGTCATGGAAGACTCTCCTCCTGGGCTTTTCCTTGGTCACCCCGACTGTCTCTAATCAGTCCCTCAGTTGAATCTCCCTTGGCCCAGCCTCCTGCAGGTTCTCCCCCTGAATCCTCGGTGATCACGTGACTCCCCTTCTCCACTGTGAGGTCAGAGCCTTCCTCAGTGTGCCGGCCACACACATCAGGCAGAGCCTTGCAGATCCATTTCATGACAGCAGGTACAGATCAGACCAGGTGTCCCTCATCTCCCATTCTGTTACCGCATACCCCACGCCCTGGCTCCTATTAAACTAATTAACCAATTAATTTTTTTTTGGTGTATGTTTATGGTATCTATGAGGATATACATCTGTGTATATATTCCTGGTATGTGTGAGTATACATGTGTAGGAGTGCAGGATGTGTGTATGGTATGTGTGTGTGTGTGTGTGTGTGTGTGTGTGTGTGCGTGTGCATGTATTTTCCCAGTATGTGTGAGGGTGTGTTCGTGTGTGCCTGGTCACACGATAGAACAACTGTACAACTTATGGTATCACTTTTTAGATGCTATCAACTTATTTTTAAAATAATTAAAACCTTGTTATAAAGAACGTTCAAACAGAAAGCATTACTCAATGAGATTAGCCAGACCGAAAGTTTGTGTGTCTCAGTGAACTTCTGTAGATCTCTTCTCTGTGGGCCTGGGCCATGTCAAGTAGACTAGTCTGCCTGGTGGCATCTCCACATCCCCGCTAGGAAGTTATCCTTGGAGGTCACTAATGGTCGTGAGCCACATGTGGGCACCGGGAATCCAACCCAGGTTCTCGGCAGAAGCAACAAGTGCTCTTGACCATTGAGCCATCACTCCAGCACCCGGGCTACGTCTTTAACTCCTGTGAGCCGATTTCACTCTCCATCTTCCTCTTACTCACTGCCTCTCTTGCAAGCTCATTCACTGGCCACTCGCCAGTCTATGGAGTACGCCTTCTCACTTCAGTATTAGATTGAAACTGCCGTCGATGTCTGGACTCTGCCCATCTCCAGAGCAAGTGTCCTCTGCATGCAACCTTGTGTGCGTGTTGTGTTCCTTGCTGTCCTCAATCCACTGATTTTTAAAGGCAAAGGAACAGGCTTGTGAACCTAGAAAGCTTGCCTTCCTGCTATCAAGCATTACTGCCAGAGCTTTGCCAATCTGGCAGGGGTGCCTGTAACAGGACTTTGTCATGTCTCCAAAGGGTGTGAACAAAAGCACAAGGGAGCAGGCAATTCAAGCTAGAGCCAGGAGCAGCTGCCACTTGCAAGACTAGCCCCCTGTGACTTATTGTGCTAGGGTGCTATGGTCTGGAAGACTTCACGACCCCCCCCCCAAACAGTGCCACCATCTGGAGATTCGGGGTTCAAGCACTAGCCTGTGGGGACCATCCCACATTCAGACCAAACAGCAGGCGTGCACGGCCTGAGCCTTCTCTCACTCTAGGGAGTCAGAGGAAATGAGAGAAGAGTTAATAACCTTAGTCTTTAAGAGTCTGATACTTTTCACAAATAGTCGAGAGGCAAGACTCTTAATTTGACATGCCAATAGTTAGCTTTTAAAACTGCCGAAAACATTTATCTTTCAAGATTTTAATGATAGAGAGAGAGTGCTTGTGGCCACCATATAACCACTTACAGTGCTAGGCGTTGTCACAAACTTAGAGTGTCATCTCTCACTCACGAATTAATGAGATCGATGCCTGGAGAGTCTCCAGGGCATAGAAGGACACCCAGTTTCTTTTTGTAATGATTAATGTCATTATTTGACAATTTCACGATGTCTGTTATAATGTGCTCTACTTCCTCTTCCTGCCCTCCTGTCTTTCTCATCGCTTGTCCCCGGCCACCATCCCAGCAGTACTGCGTGACTTGGTTTTGTGGCCCATTTAGATCAGCAGCGCCACCCATGTGACAGTACCCAGTCTCTTAACAGTTCAACGACATCTTCTTGAATCACAGCTATAGCTTTAGCTCCCATGAGCCAAGTCCATTAGTTTTATCTCTGCCAATGTTTAATAGCAACTTCCCCTTTCACCTTCTCTTTTTCTCCTGGTGTACATATGTGTGTGTTGCACGTGTGTGTGTGTGTGTGTGTGTGTGTGTGTGACAGAGAGAGAGAGAGAGAGAGATGTGGAGACCAGAGGTCAATCAATGTTGAATGCTTCTTTCTATTGTTCTCTCTCTATTTATTATTACTTTTATTATTAATTATAGACAGAATCTCTCTCTGGACTTGGAGTTCATCAATTAGGTTAGAATTGCTGGCCGGCAAGCCCCGGGGAGCCCCATGTCTCTGCCCTCCCAGTGCTGGGATTGTAAGGAAGCATTGCCTCGTTCAGCCTTTTCATTTGGCTGCTGTGAATCTGCACTCGGGCCCTGTTGCTTACACACAGACACTTTACAGACAGGGTCCTCTTCTCGGCCCCTGCAACTCCTTGTATATAAAAAACAACTGGCACATGTATCCAGTATCTGTGGGAATCATGTTCTGCCGATGCCGATCAAAGTAGCCCTGTTCCCTGAATATTTCTTCAGGTGTTCATCTTTTACAAATTCTGGGAAGGGAGAAACAATACTCAGCCTCTGATACAAGGCTAGTTGATGGTGGTCAGTGCTGAAGCAGGCTGCAGAAGGGGCTTTGAGGGCAACCCTGGGAAGGTTGGTGTCGTTGATGGCATGGCTTCTAGTAAATCTTCACTATGATGTCACTACTTGCTATTGTGCTCTCTGAATGGCAGGGTCCTAAAGTCAGAAGAAGATGGAGAGATTAGAGGGCCCAGGGGACACACGCTGGTTCCAGGTAGAGCTGGACTGCATTCCCAGAGGTCAGTGTGTTCTCTGATGGAGTAGCCAGGAACACAGCAAGGCCACGTTAGTGAACCTCACACGGACTGTAGGCGTTAGTGAACCTCACACGGACTGTAGGTTATTCTCATAGCTGGGACATACTCCTGAGACAGAAACAGCTTATGGGAGGAAGGCTTATTTTGGCTCGCCATTTGGATATCCCATCGGCTATGACGATGAAGGCTGGGCAGCGAGAGCATGAGGCAGCTGATCTCACAGCACCCACAGTCAGGGAGCAGACAGAGATGTCCGCTGGTGCTCACTTGCCTTCTCCTCATTCGGTTCAAGGACCCAGCCTGTGAGATGGGACCTTTCACACTCAGGAAGGGTCTTCCCTCTCTGGATTCACCCTCATAGACACACCCAGAGTTGTGTCCCAAGTTGACTGTGAAGATGAGTTATCTCAGTGTCCATGTCCCTCTTTGTCCCATATACCCTAGGAACACATCAAACGTCTTTCACTGTTTGAGTAGGTAGGAATGAATGTTTAAAATGAATATTAAAATGAAATGATGGATATTGAAAACAAAACCTCTGTGAGGAGTGGAAACACAGTAGTGGAAAGCCTGCCTAGTAACTGGGAGGCCTGAGCTTCAATCTCTTTATTCTCAGTGAAATGGGCAAAGAACAGCAGCCACGCTTGGGAACTGTAGTCTGATAGGTTTGAAGGCAACCTACTGACCCGTACCTGGCTGTGAATAGTCTATACTCCATCTTTTGCATAAGTACAACACTTGGGTAATTGAAAAATATGTTAGTGTGCATGCCATTTTAAGTCACAAAGCCGCCCTCTGAGAGGGTGTAATTTTCCATCCCATTTTGCAGATGTGGAAATGGAAGTTCAGGAAGATGACCCCGTCTACCTGAGCTGCAATAGGACCATCCATCCCTTGAAGCGCTGTAACGTATTGCCAATCTGTCTTTTCTTCTCTCCTTTGTAGTTATTGTATTCTTTCGCCGCTTACTCTACACGTGAGTCTAAGATAAAAATCTACAGCCCTAGGACTGGAGAGCTGGCTCAGCGCATCCTGCTCTTGCAGAGGGCCCCGAGTTCAGTTCCCATCACTCACATTAGGGCAGCTCGCAGTTGTGTCTGCATCCAGCTCAAGAGGATCCAACACCCTCTTCTGGCCTCCTTGGGCACTGTACCGATGGGCACAAACCCGTTCACAGGCACATATACATGTGCACGTAATTTAAAGATGTCTATACTCCTATCAAATTTTTACACGCTAGTAACTAAACTGTGGATGAGGTTGGGGCAGGGTGTTAGAATGCTGGAGAATTTCTTCCTTCAGGTCACACTTTGAGAGTTTTTGCCCCTTCACCCCATCGTAGTGGAGTTCGGACTGTGCAACCTGTCTTTTTTTTTTTTTTTTCCTCTTTCACTTCTGGGGACAGCTGCCTTTCTTCTGGGTACCATGTGATCTTGTTAATCCCACGGGTCGAGAATAAGGAGACTACCACCACATTTTAAAGCCAAATTTGAAGCAAGCTTTAATTGAATACTGGCCAAGTGGATGGGCTCTGGCCAGGTCCATACCGTGTTTCCCAGGAAATCCGCCCCAAGTCATAGTTCCCAGGGGCTTAAATATTTCCCACCAGGTCCAATCAGGGGCAAGCCTACATCTTGATGTATGATCTGCCTATGTACCTCCTGCCCACATGCCATCAAGGACACCTGATGCAGATGGATCATACAAACTTGTTTAGGGAGTGAAAACATACAGCTTGTTATCTCCCATAAACAACAGCCTCCAGCATTTCAGGAAGTGTCTGTCCTTGGGCAAGGAGCTTACAGATCAGAGGCATTTTTGTTTCATAGATCTCTTAGGGATAGTAATTAAAAGTTAAAATGTGACTTAGGCTCATCGCCATTCTCAGGAAGCACATGTTGCCATTTACAAAAGCTATGCTGGGCACAATCCTAGACCTTGGGACAGGGAGGAAAGGAAGGCCAAGAGTTCAAGTTGGCTAACCTGAGTTACAGGTGCCCAGCATGTCGGGGAACGCAAGCATCTCTGTATAAGAAGGGCAGATCTTCATCCTGAGGACATAGATGGTGGTTACTAACTCTGCATGCCCTTCCCATAGCTACTTAATCATGACTCTCCGGAACAAAGATGTGAAGACAAATAAAGGTGTTTCAGAGGCAGGACAGGAGTAGGAGAGGCATCTGGTGTGTCATCAGATTGCTTGGATAGAAAACAAGATGGAGTTTGAGGGCTAGCACAGCCTCCGTACAGCTTTGGCATCTCCGAAGGACTTGGAAGAAAGAATGACCTGAGGGGCTAGGGAGACAGCTCAGAGGTTAAGAGCACTTGCTGCTCTCAAGGATCTGAGTTCAGTTCCCAGCACCAAGTCCAGTGGCTCACACCCACCAGTAACTCTAGCTCTAGGGGATCATGGCCTTTACTGGCCTCCCTGGTTGCACGCACGCACGCGCACATACACACACACCCCTATAATAAATAAGTGAGTAAATGAATGAATGAATGAATAAATAAATAAAAATCCCTTTTAAAAAAGAATGGCTTTGGCTAACAGACAGTGCATGGCCTGCCAGTTTACCAACCTAATTGGTACTCCCAATTTTCCACAGATTGCTTTGCAGAAGTGTTATTATATATATATATATATATATATATATATATATATATATATATATATGGAGAAGTTGAGTCATGTGTGATATTTTATTTAATTTTTGTCAAAACATGAATTAAATGAGCTCTGGTGACAGTGGCTTCTCTCCTATGCCCCAGCCCTCAGCAGGCTGAGTTTCCTGTGGTTTGAGTAAACTGGATGGGCCTCATGACCCTCCTTCCTGTACGGATTTTCCGTTAAGGTCGGGCTTCGTTAAGTAATGGCTGGATTAATGGATTTATGTTAGAACTGGCTAAGTTTTCCTCAAATTCTTAGGGATTTCACTGTTATGTTTTATGTACTTTCTTCTTTAAAACGATCGCATATTTGTAAGTCTTCCGGAATAATCCTTTCTGTATAGTCCTTAAAAATTGTCGTTTTTACGTACTGAGTCTTGTATTAATGAAGAAGTCACTGTAACAACAACACTGAATTTGAACATTTCAGGAATGGCCCTTCTTCAGACAGGGATAGAGGTGGTGGTTAAGGGGATTAAAAATAGCACAAAGGCCAGGGAAGCGAACTAAACTGCAGGGACTAGCGAGTTCAAAGCTCTCATGCTTGTGTCATATTTGTGTAGCTTTTTCTGAATGACAAGGTCACACACAGCAGTCACCTCTGAGGAACTATTTTCTGTTGAACGTTAGGAGGGTGGTAGAGTCCATGACCGCCGTGGCGGGGAGCATGGCGACAGACAGGCAGGTGTGATTCTGTAGCAGTAGCTGAGAGTTCACAACTCCAGTCAATCACCAGGCTTAGAGATGGGGCAAGATCTGACCCACCCCCCGACACACCTCCTCCAACGAGGCCACACCTCCTAATCTTTCCCAAACAGCTCTACCAGCCATCTCTATCTATCACCTATCTCTGTCTACCTATCCTCTCTGGCTCTCTCTCAAAGGAGATGGGGTAGGAACTGGAGAGTGAAAGGTGGATTTGATTAAAACAAGACACAGTCATGGAAAAGGGAAAAAACAATCAAATACGCAAACAACAACAACAACAAAACAGCTAAAAAGAGAAGCTCAGCTTTATCAGGAAATTCTCCAGTCCGTTCTTTCATGAGTCTGCTTGTGTCCTCTGTGTTTGTGCCGACTGCCTAAGGAGTTCCACCCCTTCAAAAGATCACAACCAGCAGAATTCACTCTGAAGAATTTGCCCAGAGTTCCCTTCGGAGGAGAACGAAAGGCCCTGCAGGCATGTGTTTATATTACCTGCCTCCTCCCCAAACAGGATTTGAGTTGAGTCATGTAGGAAGAGCTTTGGGTTGGGCCTGACCACACCTGCGCACAGCTCTGGAGGTGCTGTGCCTGGCCCTGTGCTGTCCCCCACACTCAGGGACGTGCCTGTGGGCAGCTGCTCACTGTCCGGCTCTGATGCACCTTGTCTGTTAAGTTCGCCACTCGGTAGACACCGCAGCCCCTTCCTTTCCATCTGTATTTTAAATGTCATTGTTTTTAGATTCATCTGCTGTAATTTATGTGTATGAGTGTTGTCTCTACATGCATGTAAGTGTACCATGTGCATGGCTGGTGCTCAAGGAGGTCGGAAGCTGGTGTTGGGTTCTCTGGATATGGGGTTGCAGATGGCCGTTGCTCAGACTAGAACTCGGGTTCTCTGAAAGACACTGAGCCATCTCTCTAGACCACCTTCTTAATGTGTGTGTGTACATTTGGATATGCATGCATGTGACGGTGTGTGTGCCTGCACATTTGTGTTCATTCCACTGCAGGCCAGAGAACAGCTTCCAGTGTCTTCATTAGAATTGGAGGCTCTTTCATTGGCCCAGAGCTCTGCAAGTATGGTAGACTGGCTAAGGAGTAAACACAGGGACTCTTCTGTGTTCAGCTCTCCAGCCCTGGGAGTACAAGTCCACCACACCATTTTGCCTAGCATCTTTACATAGGTTCTGAGGGTCAAACTCAGGCCATTGTGCTTACAGAGCAAGAATGTGATCAACCATGCAGTCCCCCACCCCAGCCCCGAGACTGTGTCCTTTGCTGAACTGTATTTCATTTCCAACCCTGCTGTACCTCCAAATCATCTGGGAAGTTTTAAAATAATCCCTCTGCCTGAGTCAACCCTGAGTTCTGGCTCACTGGCCTGAGCAAGGCCTTGGCTTCATCTCAATTAAAAAAAAAAAAAAAAAAAAAAAAAAAAAAATCCCTAGATGCTTCTGATGTGGAAGCCAGGATTAAAAACACTGATTCAGCCAAACCCAGTGAGAGTACAAATAAGTATGTGTCCAGGAATGGCAAGGTATTTAGGCAATACCCCACCGTAGAGAAATACCATTTCCTGGGTTCAACAACTCCCTTTCATTGACATTCTAACAAAGAAGAGCGAGACTTCAGAACAGAGCTGTGGAAGAATAAAGATTCTTTTATTTTGAAGACGTCCACAGAATGGTGGCCTCCTCGGAGATGGGGTGTAGCTCAGTTGTCTAACCTGAAGCCCAAATTCTGTCCCTAGTAAGGCATGAACTGGATGGGAAAGCCAATGCTTGGGACCTCTGCTTGTTGGAGGGTGCGGACTCCAGGATCAGAAGGTGATCTTTCTTTAGCTATGCAATGCACCGGAGGCCATGATTTCCTGATCTTGATGCCTACCTGGGCGATCTGGGGGAGGCAGAGTGGGGGTGGAGTCTCACTGAACCTGGAGCCTGCTGGTTCTGTTAGGTGAGGCTAGCTGTCTGCTAGCCCCTGAGAGCCTCCCATTGCTAGGATTACAGACATGTACTTACTGCTGCTCTTTTTTAAGTGGGTGGGTGCAGGGGACAGAAGGCATGGCCATCATGATTTCAGGATACTTGTTTACTGACTGAGCCATCTCTCCCCTCCAGCCCCTTAAACATTGTTTGAAAATGATAACATATAGCCATTGGCTGTTGGAATCTTTTCACACCTCACTGTCCTTGGATCCTAAGGGGGCAGGAGAAGTTCAGCTTAAATTCTTTGTTCCCCTCTCTTCCTGTGTTCTGGGATAATAGACAGCTCCTGTCTGGTCATCTGAGGCTGACAGTAACATGGTTCAACAAGACACTCTGACTATCCTGCTTTGTTGGAGAAATGAATGTCCTATTAGGCTACTTTTATCATGTAGGATTTTAGCTGTCATCTGTGAAGGGCTCTAAAAACAGTATTGTCACACAGGGGAGATGGTTTAGTGACTCAGTGAGTAAGCGTTCTTGCTTATAGGCTTGAAGACTTGAGTTCAAATCTCTATCATACTGTGAAAAGGCTGGTGGCAGCCTG